GATTGCCATTTGTGGTTGGGGAGGGGAAGATGGAAAAAAGTTCCATCAATTGTCTTCACATTGCTGGTGACTGTGTTTTGCAGGACATCAGCTGACTTGTTTAAGACAGTGTTTGACCTACTGGTATCAGTAACAGTGTTCGTTGGACGTTTTGACATGCGTATGATGCAGGTAACTATCTGTGTCAAATTATATTTGTGAAATCTGTGTTTTCTGCCATTCATTTTATTTTCCCATTGTCAAATCTCTCTCTCTCTCTCTCCATTCATATGTGTATGAGAGTGTGTGTTTATATATATATATATAGATGCTCTTTGAAGTTCACAAAACACGTAAGATATTCAGCTGGATTACTTTTCATGATTGGAAGAATCTAGATACTTTAGTAGGATTGATTTTTGTTTTTTTTTAATGTAAATTTTTCATGAGATGATCTAGGTATGTCTTAAAACATGGCACCTCAAATTAGGAATGGATGCAGGAACTATTTTGTTGCGGGCCAAATCAATCTTCTCCAAAGAGATTAAGTTGTAGTTTTGTTTGTAACAGAACCTAAATTACTTTTCAATCCTTCCGAATTTAGATTTATCATTTAAAAAAAAAAAATCAATGATGGACTTCTAAAAAATTCGATATGAACAGGAATTAAGGAAGAAATTTGAACAAAGTTGTTAAGGGTAATAAAAACCTAGGCAAGAGACATACATACGCACAGCATACCTCATGTCGGACATTATGTCAGTAGCAACCATCCTAGGGGTGGCTGTTGGTGTCTTAAACATGTTTTGCTTCAAATTGTTATATTCTTAGAATTTATGTCATGTTGAAAAACAAAAAATTACTATAATTGTATCTCCCTTCTATTGTTTTTTAATTTAATTAGGATAAATGGAAATAAAAAGTAAACCTTTTAGTTAGATGTCAGTGCATTTGAATAGTCTTAAGCTTAATTGGCAGTTATTATCTACTGGATTATGAAGGCCAATCAGCTGCCATTTTCATAACAAGTTGATCATCTCAAGATGGCATTGGGTGCCTGTCACTTCTCTGCTAATTTTATGGTTTCGTATGGGAGGTCACATGTGAGTAGAATTAGACATGTAATATGTAGTTTCCTTTTGGGGAAATGGTGGTAAGTTTGGGAACATTTACACAGAGNGGGGGGAGGGGGGAGGGAGATTGCCATTTGTGGTTGGGGAGGGGAAGATGGAAAAAAGTTCCATCAATTGTCTTCACATTGCTGGTGACTGTGTTTTGCAGGACATCAGCTGACTTGTTTAAGACAGTGTTTGACCTACTGGTATCAGTAACAGTGTTCGTTGGACGTTTTGACATGCGTATGATGCAGGTAACTATCTGTGTCAAATTATATTTGTGAAATCTGTGTTTTCTGCCATTCATTTTATTTTCCCATTGTCAAATCTCTCTCTCTCTCTCTCTCTCCATTCATATGTGTATGAGAGTGTGTGTTTATATATATATATGTAGATGCTCTTTGAAGTTCACAAAACACGTAAGATATTCAGCTGGATTACTTTTCATGATTGGAAGAATCTAGATACTTTAGTAGGATTGATTTTTGTTTTTTTTTAATGTAAATTTTTCATGAGATGATCTAGGTATGTCTTAAAACATGGCACCTCAAATTAGGAATGGATGCAGGAACTATTTTGTTGCGGGCCAAATCAATCTTCTCCAAAGAGATTAAGTTGTAGTTTTGTTTGTAACAGAACCTAAATTACTTTTCAATCCTTCCGAATTTAGATTTATCATTTAAAAAAAAAAAATCAATGATGGACTTCTAAAAAATTCGATATGAACAGGAATTAAGGAAGAAATTTGAACAAAGTTGTTAAGGGTAATAAAAACCTAGGCAAGAGACATACATACGCACAGCATACCTCATGTCGGACATTATGTCAGTAGCAACCATCCTAGGGGTGGCTGTTGGTGTCTTAAACATGTTTTGCTTCAAATTGTTATATTCTTAGAATTTATGTCATGTTGAAAAACAAAAAATTACTATAATTGTATCTCCCTTCTATTGTTTTTGAATTTAATTAGGATAAATGGAAATAAAAAGTAAACCTTTTAGTTAGATGTCAGTGCATTTGAATAGTCTTAAGCTTAATTGGCAGTTATTATCTACTGGATTATGAAGGCCAATCAGCTGCCATTTTCATAACAAGTTGATCATCTCAAGATGGCATTGGGTGCCTGTCACTTCTCTGCTAATTTTATGGTTTCGTATGGGAGGTCACATGTGAGTAGAATTAGACATGTAATATGTAGTTTCCTTTTGGGGAAATGGTGGTAAGTTTGGGAACATTTACACAGAGCCACAGAGGAGTGTCAAGAATTCTCGAAACCCGAGGGAGGGACCCCCTCTCCCCGGGAGCCCTATGTGAGTCTATCTGCTGGTAATATTTTATCCTTCTGATTCTGGATATCTGAGGTTTTCTTTCTGTGCACTTCTTTAGCTATACTAGTTCTATTCTTTATCTATATAGATTTGTGTTGGTACCTTTGCAGTTGTTCAGTTTTGCCTGACTGAGGATGGAAGTAAGCCTTTCATTTTTCCTTTTTGTGCGAAGCAACTCTTCCATATAATTGTTCAGATAGGAAGTTATGTATATATGTTAATATCATCTTCCCCCTTTGTCCTATTCTCAGGCAGCAATGAGTAGGGTTCAAGATGGAGCTAAACAGGATGATCTTTTGTATGATCAATTCAGTGAAAAGGATGATCTGTGGTTTGACTTTATGGCTGATACTGGTGATGGTGGAAATTCTTCTTATACTGTGGCACGACTTCTCGCTCAACCTTCAATTCGGGTCCGTAGTCGTGACTCTATGCTTAAGCTACCACGTGGAAACCTGCTCCTTATTGGGGGTGATCTTGCGTAAGCTCAACTATTTTCATAGTGTTTATGATCTCTAGGATGAATTAGAGGAATTATAGATTGTCAATGGATGATTTGTTGCTAGCTATGAATAGGCTCTGTGTTGCACAGCTCTTATAAGGATTAAAAACTCGTGCTCTGGAAGTCCTGTACATCAATGGAACATGACGCTTCTTGGTCAATAATTGAAATTTTTTTCCTGGAAAGATGTGGATTCTGACTTTTTCCTAGGTTATTACCTTGATATGTCATTTCTAGGCTTGCATTAAGGAACAGTTGAGCTTGGTAGGAAAATTGAATATTCTTATATTACAATGGTTATCATGCACTGTGATGGGCCCTGGAGTGTGCTGAAATAAAGGATTTAAGGTCCAAGATGAGGTGGAAATTGGATTTATGATCTCATAATGATGTAGTGTTTTGATGGACTGCAGCCTTAGGGATGTATTTGGAGAGTCTCTATTGGAAATTTTTGTAGAGATGTAGATGTTTCTTAAGGGATATGATATCTAAACTTCAGGTAGTGGGATCTGATGGAAGTGAGGGGACAAGAACGATGGGCAGAACCCTAGCCACTAGTTTGCGTCATCAGCACTGTCAAAAAGCGTTGCATCATGTCCATTCTGCCACTGCATTCAATGCATCATCACCGATTCACCATCATCGTTGACCACAATTTGTCACATTTAATGGTACAAAGTCTAGTTGCTCCAGGTGTCACTTATTAATCTCAAGGCTCAAGTTTGACTTTCCTGAAATTGGGGATTTAATGCTTAAGCCACAGACTTGTGTTGGTCTTTACTCTGAAAACTCAGATATATTATGGATATTCGCTTAATCAATCTATTGTCATGTTTGTCACAATTTCTTAGTTTCTTTTCAAACTTGCATCTTCTAACTAGAGCTCCTTAAATGCAACAGTTGTTTTTGGAACTAGAGGACAAAGNACGTTTCGGAATTTCAACACTCCGAAACGAAATAGTAGTTGAATCACAAAATTCCACTGTTTCGGTCGAAACGGTACTGTTTCGGACCGTTTCGGACCGTTTCGGTCGAAACGGCATTGTTTCGAACCGTTTCGACAAAACAGTGATATATTCGGTTCATTATGAATAATTACATTTAATATCCATTATAATTACATTTAATACCCACTGTAATTACATTTAATACTCACTATAATTATATTTAATATCCCACTATANAAAAAAAAAAAATCAATGATGGACTTCTAAAAAATTCGATATGAACAGGAATTAAGGAAGAAATTTGAACAAAGTTGTTAAGGGTAATAAAAACCTAGGCAAGAGACATACATACGCACAGCATACCTCATGTCGGACATTATGTCAGTAGCAACCATCCTAGGGGTGGCTGTTGGTGTCTTAAACATGTTTTGCTTCAAATTGTTATATTCTTAGAATTTATGTCGTGTTGAAAAACAAAAAATTACTATAATTGTATCTCCCTTCTATTGTTTTTGAATTTAATTAGGATAAATGGAAATAAAAAGTAAACCTTTTAGTTAGATGTCAGTGCATTTGAATAGTCTTAAGCTTAATTGGCAGTTATTATCTACTGGATTATGAAGGCCAATCAGCTGCCATTTTCATAACAAGTTGATCATCTCAAGATGGCATTGGGTGCCTGTCACTTCTCTGCTAATTTTATGGTTTCGTATGGGAGGTCACATGTGAGTAGAATTAGACATGTAATATGTAGTTTCCTTTTGGGGAAATGGTGGTAAGTTTGGGAACATTTACACAGAGCCACAGAGGAGTGTCAAGAATTCTCGAAACCCGAGGGAGGGACCCCCTCTCCCCGGGAGCCCTATGTGAGTCTATCTGCTGGTAATATTTTATCCTTCTGATTCTGGATATCTGAGGTTTTCTTTCTGTGCACTTCTTTAGCTATACTAGTTCTATTCTTTATCTATATAGATTTGTGTTGGTACCTTTGCAGTTGTTCAGTTTTGCCTGACTGAGGATGGAAGTAAGCCTTTCATTTTTCCTTTTTGTGCGAAGCAACTCTTCCATATAATTGTTCAGATAGGAAGTTATGTATATATGTTAATATCATCTTCCCCCTTTGTCCTATTCTCAGGCAGCAATGAGTAGGGTTCAAGATGGAGCTAAACAGGATGATCTTTTGTATGATCAATTCAGTGAAAAGGATGATCTGTGGTTTGACTTTATGGCTGATACTGGTGATGGTGGAAATTCTTCTTATACTGTGGCACGACTTCTCGCTCAACCTTCAATTTGGGTCCGTAGTCGTGACTCTATGCTTAAGCTACCACGTGGAAACCTGCTCCTTATTGGGGGTGATCTTGCGTAAGCTCAACTATTTTCATAGTGTTTATGATCTCTAGGATGAATTAGAGGAATTATAGATTGTCAATGGATGATTTGTTGCTAGCTATGAATAGGCTCTGTGTTGCACAGCTCTTATAAGGATTAAAAACTCGTGCTCTGGAAGTCCTGTACATCAATGGAACATGACGCTTCTTGGTCAATAATTGAAATTTTTTTCCTGGAAAGATGTGGATTCTGACTTTTTCCTAGGTTATTACCTTGATATGTCATTTCTAGGCTTGCATTAAGGAACAGTTGAGCTTGGTAGGAAAATTGAATATTCTTATATTACAATGGTTATCATGCACTGTGATGGGCCCTGGAGTGTGCTGAAATAAAGGATTTAAGGTCCAAGATGAGGTGGAAATTGGATTTATGATCTCATAATGATGTAGTGTTTTGATGGACTGCAGCCTTAGGGATGTATTTGGAGAGTCTCTATTGGAAATTTTTGTAGAGATGTAGATGTTTCTTAAGGGATATGATATCTAAACTTCAGGTAGTGGGATCTGATGGAAGTGAGGGGACAAGAACGATGGGCAGAACCCTAGCCACTAGTTTGCGTCATCAGCACTGTCAAAAAGCGTTGCATCATGTCCATTCTGCCACTGCATTCAATGCATCATCACCGATTCACCATCATCGTTGACCACAATTTGTCACATTTAATGGTACAAAGTCTAGTTGCTCCAGGTGTCACTTATTAATCTCAAGGCTCAAGTTTGACTTTCCTGAAATTGGGGATTTAATGCTTAAGCCACAGACTTGTGTTGGTCTTTACTCTGAAAACTCAGATATATTATGGATATTCACTTAATCAATCTATTGTCATGTTTGTCGCAATTTCTTAGTTTCTTTTCAAACTTGCATCTTCTAACTAGAGCTCCTTAAATGCAACAGTTGTTTTTGGAACTTGAGGACAATGTCCTATCTTGTTTTTTTCACTTGTTTTTTCTTTTGTTTGAACTGTCTGGACTCGATTGACTTCATTTGTTAGTTAAATTTATGTTTGCATCAATGAAAATGTAGTTGTTTTTCGTTCCAGCATTTCATATGAAGGGGTTGAGTGGGATGTACTTTTATGGATTTGAATCTATATTGGCTTTATCGTCATTTTTGGCTGCACATGGTTGTTAATTTTATGTAAACAATTGTGTACATGTGATATAATTACATGTAATTTGGCTTTCTTATAGGTATCCTAATCCATCAGCATTTACATATGAAAGGCGCTTCTTTCGCCCTTTTGAATATGCTCTCCAGCCTCCACCCTGGTATAAAGAAGAGCATATAGCTGTAAACAAGCCCGAATTACCATGTGGGGTGTCCGAGCTGAAGCAATATGATGGACCTCAATGCTTTGTTATTCCTGGAAACCATGGTTGGTCTTGGTTCTTGGTCTCCCAAAACATATTTTTTCCTGATATGTAAAACGGCGTGGCAGTGAATTATGTTTCTCATTAACATCTCTTGTAGTCCTTTGAACCTATACGAAAATTTCGTCTAGGTTTGTTTCTCTTTAAATGTTGATTTGGTGTAGATCTTTCCTGGTTTTGCAGATTGGTTTGATGGACTTCAAACCTTCATGAGGTACATATGTCACAAGAGCTGGTTGGGTGGATGGTTTATGCCTCAGAAGAAGAGCTACTTTGCTTTGCAGCTACCAAAAAGGTGGTGGATATTTGGTCTTGATCTAGCTCTCCATTGTGACATTGATGTATACCAATTCAAATTTTTCTCAGAATTAATAAAGGAAAAGGTATTTTCTTTGTGTGGTCTTTTCTTTTTGGGCTTTCTATTTTGCAATTTTGTTATTAGGATCGCTACGAATGTTCATTAGTGACATTAGTGGTGTATTTGAGTGCTGTCATATTAGCTGCTACACAAATATGTGGACCTTTTCCTTGTGATATGCATCTATTCATAATAACAGAGTTATTGACTGGATCATTTTTTTGAACGGGTCAGGAGTCAGGACATGATTGAGTTCATGTCCATGTAGGTACATTAACAAATAAGTATTTGCATAAGAATGAGCAGATGCATGCTCATCTTTGTGATTAAATGCTTGATAATGGACACTGAGAATTGTAAATTGCTTGCAATGGAAGTGCCATCCATAGAGTTGATATCAGAATGTCCCTTTTGTAAAGTGTCAGTGAACATTTGAGAGAACTACTCAATTGATGCAAGATAATTTATTCTCCAAATCTGGCGTATGATGAATTTTGTTCGATTTTCAAGAAGGTAGGGGTCATGCTCTTGCTTTGAAAAGGGGAGCCATGAAGCTTAAACCTCTACATATTCCATGGCTCCTCCTTTNTGATGAATTTTGTTCGATTTTCAAGAAGGTAGGGGTCATGCTCTTGCTTTGAAAAGAGGAGCCATGAAGCTTAAACCTCTACATATTCCATGGCTCCTCGTATTTTTTTTCCTTTCTAGATTTCAAGTTAATCCTGAATGCCACGTTGTTGTTAGTTTCACCATCACCATGAAACTTCTATTCTATCGGAGTCAGTGAATCATGTCTTGCATTTGAGTGTTTGTTAAATAGTTCAGTTAGAATTATCGTTATCAACCGTTTACTCCAGCACTCTCTTACGGGATCTTCTTCTTTTGTTTTTCTTTTTTCCTTGATGGATCACATGTCAAATGGAAGTCCTTTGCAGGTTGGGGACAACGATTCTGTAATCATTATGACACATGAACCAAATTGGCTTCTTGATTGGTATTGGAATGATGTGACCGGGAACAACATCACATACCTGATACGTGACCATTTAAAGGGCAGGTGCAAACTTCGAATGGCTGGGGATTTGCATAATTATATGCGCCATTCATTTGTTCCTTCAGATAAGCCAGTTTATGTGCAACATTTGCTTGTTAATGGTTGTGGTGGGGCTTTTTTGCATCCTACCCATGCCTTTAGGAATTTCAACAAATTGTATGGGACTTCCTATGAAAGCAAGGCTTCGTATCCTTCTTTTGAAGATTCGAGCAGGGTAAATAATCCCAATATCCTTGCAATTACTATGTTCTTATTTTTGCATCATTTTGTTTGTTTGTTGCTTGCTATAATGTGCTAATGATTTTTCTGCAGATTGCTCTAGGAAATATTTTGAAGTTCCGAAAGAAAAATTGGCAATTTGATTTCATTGGTGGCATTATATACTTTGTGTTGACCTTTTCCATGTTCCCACAGGTGAGTTTTGACTTTTTGTCAGTGTTTCTCTTAGAGTCATGCCAGGTTGAGGTGTTTAGGTGGTCTTTGCCTTGAAGCCTGCCAATTAACTTGTTCCTCATTTCCTTCTTGTCAGACTTTGGAACTTTAGTCACCAACAAAAAATATTTTTCCTGTCCCACTTGGTCTTATTTCAGTTGATGGATTTATTCGGTTTTCTTCTCTTTTTAGATAAAAAGTTCCTCTTGGATGCTTTAGTTATATGCCATGTCGCTGTTCCACAAACAGATGATTAATTATTTTTCCTCCTCTAGTGTGAGCTAGGCCATATTTTACAGGATGATACATTTTCTGGTCACCTAAGGAGCTTCTTTAGCACAGTGTGGGATGCTTTTATGTACATGCTAGGACATTCACATGTATCTTCAGCAAGTGCTCTGTTATTGTTAATAGCTGCTATCATGTTTGTACCCTCCAAAGTATCTCGGAAAAGAAGGGCAATAATTGGGATTCTTCATGTTGCTGCCCATCTGTCTGCGGCATTAATTCTCATGCTGCTGTTGGAATTGGGAGTTGAGACATGTATTCGGCATAAATTATTGGCAACTTCAGGTAAAATTTTCTGTTCCATTTCCTTTGTTTTCATCTAATTTATAGAAATAAGATGATTTGCACTTCTGTTTAACTAATAAGCTTTTGTACTATTTGTCATGTGTCCCCAACTTGCCTTGTTATACATGTCACAATTAAGCATGAAGTATGATGGTCTGGGTATAATGAAATATATACTAAATTAAGCCAAATCCTCATTGTAATTACTTGCTACACGAATTCTTTTGCCATTTTTCTCTTTCTAAGGTCCAGCATGGGCGCTATTATGGATGGAAGGGATAGTCAGAAATTGGTCATTAATATCTTGGAAGGTGTAATGGTTAAATATATAGAGATTGAAGGTAATTGTACAATAAAGTGGATGCTAATTTTCAGTTCAATTTTTATAGTTTTAGATCTTTTGGATTTATCTGCTTTACATGTGTGAATTAGGAATATGGAGGTTAAGACTTTAAGGATATGATTTTTGTGAAGATAATATATCCCATATTTGCTGTTGGAAATTCATTCACCAGTGAGAGTGTTGACATCACATAATGTTTAGTCATTGCGTTTCAGGTTATCACACTTTATATGAATGGTATCGATCAGTGGAGAGTGAGCATTTTCCTGACCCAACAGGCCTCCGGGCTCGTATAGAACAATGGACATTTGGCCTCTATCCAGCATGTATTAAGTATCTGATGTCTGCATTTGACGTTCCAGAGGTGAGAATGCTTTCCTTTTCAGGAACATGTGTTGATACATTTTTGTCACCCTTTCTTTCTTTCTTGTTTCTGCATCTTATACATTTTGTTAATGCATGAGAGAAATCATCAGGTCATGGCTGTCACAAGGAATAATATTTGCAAGAAAAATATGGATTCACTCTCCCGTGGGGGTGATGTGATATATTATGCTTCTGTGTTCCTTTATTTCTGGGTCTTTTCAACTCCAGTGGTTTCTTTGATCTTTGGAAGCTACCTGTACATTTGTATTAACTGGCTTCACATACACTTTGATGAAGCCTTTTCCTCACTCCGTATTGCTAATTACAAGGCATTTACACGTTTCCATATCCTCCACAATGGCGATCTTGAAGTTTTCACCCTCGCAGTTGATAAGGTAACATATTAATGCATTGTTTTTCTATTTGGTGGTTGACTTTGGGAATGTGAAATTACTTAAAAACTAAACTATGAGATTCATATTTTTGGCGCATTCCATTGGGCACCACCCTTCAGGTCCTTCTCCAAACTCCCAGTTTTCTATTTTTGCCTGGAACTAGTTGTATAAATTCTTCAAAACAGGAATCCTCACTGTGTTTAGTACTAGCCAGCTCTGGGATTGAAACGCTGATTCACTAAACTGTAGTATATGGTGAATACGGTCTTCTAATGTTCCGTATTGTTCTTCGGAGTGCTANAACTCCCAGTTTTCTATTTTTGCCTGGAACTAGTTGTATAAATTCTTCAAAACAGGGATTGAAACGCTGATTCACTAAACTGTAGTATATGGTGAATACGGTCTTCTAATGTTCCGTATTGTTCTTCGGAGTGCAAGGGGTGTGTCAAAGACTATTTTATCTTCCTCTTTGTAAAACAACACTTGAAGTCCTATGGATATGCAGGTTCCTAAGGAATGGAAGCTGGATCCTAATTGGGATGGGGAACCAAAACAACCAGTGCAGCTGAGCCACCTGAGAAAGTTTCCTAGCAAATGGAGAGCAACTTCCTCTCAGCAGGACCCAGGTAGCACTGTACGGATTGTTGACCAATTTGTCATTAGACAAACCGACCAGGAAGCAGTGAATGGGCAGTAACTTGCTGACATCTGATTTGATATTTGTAAACATATGTAATTTGTAGTCTTTAGGAATCAATTGAAGAAAGGGGAAAGAAAAAGGTTAAAGGTTTAGAATGTACTCTTGTATGAATCAAACCAAATCGGATGGGAAAAATAGAAGACATAAAAACACTTGTTGCAGTTTAATATAATATTGTGGAATGGAATGAGTAACTCCCCTCAAACTGGCATGGATCAGCAATAATATGTACACCACCTTGTTCGCACCATTTGACAACGTGACATGATAACAAGTTTGTTTTCATGTATGGTTTGTTTGGTACTTGCTAAAATGAAAATGCTTATGGAAATAATCAACTTTAAGGAATAGTCAAGAACACCAAATGACAATCCCCTCCAACCACCCCCCCTACAAAAAAAAAAAAAAAAGAAGAAAGAAAGAAAAGAAAACATACAAGGTGGAGTTATTATACAATCAGTGGAATTTAAATTAGGCTGGAAACATTCTGCCATGGAGGTAAAAACTATCAAGGATAATGACTATAAAAAGTATGTAGTGGAAAAGATGAATGATACATTTAAACTCCAACAAGATTTACGATCTGGACATTTTTAAAAGTAGTGTTAGTTATTGCTGTAATCAAGATTGTTAATCTAGTTTTTTTCTGTAACCAAAGTCCTTTTAACTGAATTAATAANGGATAATGACTATAAAAAGTATGTAGTGGAAAAGATGAATGATACATTTAAACTCCTACAAGACTTACGATCTGGATATTTTTAAAAGTAGTGTTAGTTACTGCTGTAATCAAGATTGTTAATCTAATTTTTTCTGTAACCAAAGTCCTTTCAACTGAATTAATAAAAAAATCATCTTTTATTAGTTCCCGTGTTTTTGTTTATTAAAATTCATTCAAAAAAACCCTGAAACAAGACATTAAAATCTCTCACAAACAGTCGTCTAAAAAACTGTTTAAATTAAGGGTGAAAAGTTGAAGTATACTCCNAAAAAATCATCTTTTATTAGTTCCCGTGTTTTTGTTTATTAAAATTCATTCAAAAAAACCCTGAAACAAGACATTAAAATCTCTCATAAACAGTCGTCTAAAAAACTGTTTAAATTAAGGGTGAAAAGTTGAAGTATACTACTCTTTCCTTCCCCATCCGGCTGTATCAAAGAAGGTCACCAACTCCGTTGTTCCATTTCATCAATCGGCGGTCCGATGTTAGATTGGACCTGGAAAAGCTCCGAAAAAGTAGGAGAATCCATATTCAATATGTTTTATGCCTTGTAATCGATCGATTTTGCTGACCTCTTGTTTGGCTTCAGACTTGAGTTAACCATGAGTTCATATCTGTCTCGTAAGAAAATGAAACATATGGCTGCGTAATCAGATCCATTTTCCATGCTGACAGTCACCAGCAACATGTAGAATGATATCATTTGTTGTGAAGATTCCCATATATTTTCATTTGTCAGTCACACACACACATGCATACTAAACTAGATTAATTGATTCCATGTGTCTTCTGATCATGATAGTCAACTAAGGCAGGAACTCCATTAATTTGTGACAATGACACTACATCGTTATATTAAAAATATGTTCAAAAAAAAACTCCAATCCTTTATTTAATTTCATATCAAATAAAGATAGACTTAAATCACCAATGATTAGATTTTATTTTCTTTTAAAAATTTGATGGCCAAATTTCACCATTCTCTAAATTTAAGTTGATACTCCTTTAAATCTTAGTTTGTGTATTAGAACTCTTTTATATCAAATCAAACTTTTTAGTCATATATTGATTCAAATTTGAGTAAAAATTTGGCCAATGAAGATTGAGATGCTGTCATGAGTATTATTTAAAAAAACAACATGACTCAAGAAGCAAGAGTTGTGATTCCTTTATTATTCTTTAATTTCCTCTTTTCTAATGAGTATTATTTTAAAAAATAACACGACTCAAGAAGTAAGAGCTGTGATTCCTTTATTATTCTTTAATTTCCTCGTTTCTAATGAGTATTATTTTAAAAAATAACACGACTCAAGAAGTAAGAGCTGTGATTCCTTTCTTATTCTTTAATTTCCTCGTTTCTAATGAGTATTATTTAATTTGAAAAAAGACGACCCAAGTTATTAGTCTTCCTCGTGATCATTATAAATATATGTGAGTTAAGGGGATACTTAAATCAAGTATAGAGTCTTGTATATATAGCTAAAAAATAGTATAAAATGACCTGAACATCCATCTGGTCTAGGTAAGACATAAAATAGTAATGGAAAAAAAGGGAAGGAAAAAAAAACCTAATAAACTAGACTCCAACACTTCCCCTTAACCTATGCACAAAAATATCAATTAAGTCAAGCTTGACAATGAAATTCCAGAGAATTGATAGAGTGACAAGTTTAGTAAAATTATCTACAACTTGATCACTGGTTCCCACAAACAATGGAGTGATAATACCATAACTAATCTTTTCCCGAAGAAAGTGAACATCGATCTCTATATGCTTCATCCTCTAGTGTAGTACAAAGTTAGAAACAAGTTGAATAGAAAATCAATTATCATAATATAATGTGGATGGAGAATTCATTGGAAATCCCAACTTGCCAAGAATCGATTATAGCCAGATAATTTCACATGTGTCAAGTGCTAGGTACTCAGGCTCTGTTGACGAGTAGGACACAACCGTTTGCTTCTTGCTTTTTTAAGATTTAAGATATAAGATGAGTCCCTCGAAAAACACAGAAGCCCGTAGTAAATCGACCGTCACACGCTCCTCTATAATATGAATCTAAATAACAAACTAAAGAACCAACCTGATATCTTGATGCATAAAACAACCTAAGTCTATAATAAGACTTGAGGTACCGAAGGATATGATAAACTACATCAAGATGAGAATGACACGGCTTGTACATGAACTGACTAACTCGGCTGATAATAAATGAAATGTCTGACCTAATGTTGGCTAGATTGATAAGTCTACCTACCAATCTCTGATAGACAGTCGGATCTCTCAACTTCTCACTTTCAATAGTAAGGTTTAGGTTTGAAAATATGGGTGATGATGTCGGTTTGCACCCCAACATGCCAGTGTCTGAGAGAAGATCTAGAACGTACTTCCTCTAAGAAAGAACAATACCCCTACTATTACAGGCAACCTCAATCCCAAAAAAGTATCGCAGAAATCTAAGGTCCTTCATATCGAAGGCCTTCCCAAGGTCTACCGTGACTTGTACATTTTCAAAAATATCATCCTCAGTAATAATAATATAATCTACATATATCAAAAGGATCATACGCTGCTTAAAAATATTCCATCAAATGAAGCATGTATGATCAGAATGACATCTGGTGAACCCTAAATGTACAACTACACCACTAAACTGAGAAAACCAAACTTGTGTTGACTGTTTCAGTCCATAAAAAGACTTACGCTATTGGTACACCTTCTCAGCATATTCCCCTTCACCACGAAAGTCTAATGGTGCATCCATATAAATAGTCTCGTCTAGATCACTGTGAAGAAACACATTCTTCACATCCAACTGATGAAAATATCAAGAATACTTCGCAGCCAGAGATATAATCAACCGAATGGTAGTTAATTTTGCCACAAGGGAAAAGGTAGCACCAAAATTATGACCTGATACCTGAGTAAAACCCTTCACCATAAGCCTAGTGAGCGAAGAGCACGAACAATGACATCATAAGCCGACTGGTTGTTCACCATAAGCCCTTCACCATAAGCCGACTGGTCGTTGAGCACCGATGGTTGCCTCACTCCTCGTTCTCTACCTTTTGCGATTTGGGGCAAAATCAAAATGGCCCTAAATCAATTTTTCATTTTTTATTTTATGGACTTCAAACTGGTCCAGTTTTTAAAAATCATTCAATTCACGGTTTTCTCAAAAAATTGGCCGATTTGACAATTTTTATCCGGTTCTCTTCCTTATGTGGTTTAACTAGTCAACTAGATCGGTTGGGGTTTCGGGTCACGGTTGAACTGGTCCGGTTCTGATAAAATTACTCTAGAGGAGGGAACATTGTTACTACAAGGTCACGGTGACTTTGTAGTAATAGTGACCAATGACTCTGGTTCATGTGGTAAGGGAAAATCAAAGAGACTATTATCAACTAGAGGGGCAAACACAAGAGTGGAAGAAAAATAAGAAATATGCTCAAGAAAGGTAAAATATAGACTATGATGCATACGATGCTTAATAGGGTCATAACATCGATACCCCTTAGACTGACGACAATAGCTCACAAAGACACAACAAATTGCTTTATCATTAAGCTTATGACGAGTAGGAGACCGATTTTGAACAAAACAAGTGTAGCTAAAAATACAAGGGGGGGACCGAAAAAAATGTCTGCTCAGGGAATAAGACCAATAAGGGAGCCTATATTGAAGAATACGACTCGGTATACAATTACACAGAAAACTAAAAGTCAAAACAGTAAAATATCAATAAGATTTTGGCACCCCATACCTCTAAGCATACAACGTATTATCCCTATTAGACTCCTATTTTTCTTTTTAGCAACTCTATTTTTCTCAGGAGTATATGGGCAAGTGAGCTATTGAAGGATACCTTGAGAAGAAAGGTGAGACACTAAGACATCATACACATATTCTTTGGCATTATCTGAACGAAGAGCACGAACAATGACATCGAATTATGTCTTAATCATCTATAGAAGCTGAGTGATGACAAGGAGTACATAGGATTTCCTATGCAAAAGGTAGACTCTAGTACAACGAGTAAATGTCACAAAATATCAAGTACCTGACAGAGCAGTAACAGGGGAGGGTCCCCAAATATCAGAGTGTATTAGGTCAAATGGCCTGAGTGACTGATGTATGCGAGGAATATAACTAGTTCTAACATGTTTTGATAGGGAATATATAATACAGTCAAGTTTATCACCAACACAAGCATTGCTCAAAGCATAAAACAACATACATAAATATTTAAATTTATATGCCCAAAACTGTCATGCCACAATTGAATAATTTATGATGAAAAATCATAACAACGAGTACTAGGTAAAATACTAACATGCAAGATAGAAACAAACAAAGATAAAGTAGGTGCAAGTGATGTAGGTGTAGGAACTGGTAAAACTAGAGGTAGATCGCCTAAATAAAACAGTCCATCTCTTTCATATCCCTTGATAATAATCCTTTTGATACTCAAATCCTACAAATAACATGAACTAGATCAGAACACAACCA